CCCCTCTCTCACTTCCCCTTCCCTACCAGACATAATCGATAATGTTATTAACGTCAGCCTCCGAAGCTCTGGAAGGACCCTGAAAGAAAGCGACAGGAATGGCAACAACAAAATGGTCAGCTGCGGGAATTTCGGATGGCCTGAACCCGGTGGACCTCAAGATGATCGAGGTTTTGGAAGAATGGACCGACACAACGACCTGCATCCCTGAGTGTGAGAAGGATAATGAAAGGCGGTACGAGAGGTGAGCGGAGGACTCGGAGGATCTGAAAAGGGGAAGACAGACAAAGTAACAAGAGACTGGAGGATAGAGGGTACCATATCATTGCACAGTGCCAGGCTTTATCGATTCTGTGGTCGTTTGGTTCTACAATAACACAGAGAGGGCTTAGGGGCCTTAGGGTTTCGAAGGGACACCTCAGAGCAACATTGAACAGAGGGACTGCAGAACAGGACTGACAGCGATACTCCGAGAGGGGACGCCGGGCTGTATGGTGTGGCGCATACGCTCAGAGAGAGGGTATTAGGGGCTTAAAGGGCTTAAAGGCTTAAAGGGACAGCACACAGTAAAAATGAACAAGAAAGGCTGCAGAACAGGGCTCTTCAAGGTACAGACTTTAAGGGTGGTATGCAGGGGTTGTGAGAGGGTTTAGGGTTTAAAGGGATAAACATCAGGGGGGCTGCTGAATAAGGGCTGGGCCCATTAGATAAAGGGTGCTCCTAGTAAGATGGGTGACACTAGCAGCTCCAAGGGTCAATGGAGCCCCCGGCTGAGAAGAGAAACGGCCAGAGCCCCAGGAAACAACAAACAGCAAATTTTGTGTCATAAGATGTATTGATGGGCTGGACCTGGTTTCCAGCAGGTGCAGCTCCCCACCAATAGATGGAGCACCCTGCCTATAAGCCCTCAATCCTGATGGTTCTCTCACCACCACTGGGATAGAGGTCTTACACAACGGCTCTTCTTTTAAAAAAAAAAAAAAAAAAAAAAAGGGAAGACACAAGCGGAAGGCAAAGGGAAAAGGGAAAAGGGGAATGGGAAGATTCTTACAGAATGCATCAATGAATGACAACTAAGCATGCGCACGCGCAGCGCACCGCGCACCCCGCACCGCACAGCGCACCACGCCCACGCGCACCGGGAAAATTAAGGTCCAAAACAACAACAAAAAAAAAAGTAGGTTTCGTAATTTCCTACGGCACCCACCCCGGCAAAAATGTTTGGGAAACTGTCCGCGCACGTGGCCCGGATTTTTTTTGGGGGGGGCAAGGGCTGCCGAATTTTGAATCCTGCAGGCCACTCCCCCAAAAATTTCAAAACCGCAGATTAGGAAAATAGGGCTCGTTGAGCCTCATTCCAGTTTTCTTTTTTAGGCGAAGTGCGGTAACTGGACTTCGCCTTTTGTTCTGCAAATCGCACACAGCGGTGAACGAATTTGCAAGAAGGGTAGAATTATTCAGCAGTGCCATGGCCCACACTGTCTTGCAGAAGGCACACTGAGCCACACTCCATGTTTGGTGACTCCGGCCGACCACCAATATATGCTGACGATTGGCATTCAGGTCTGCATGTCGGCAGTTATCAGTGAGGATGAAGATGCCTGTAGCTCGCTCGTTTTTTTTTTTGTTGTTGTCTAATGAATACGTACAGTGGTCCAAGGGGGCTCTAGCCACTGCTCACCACATGCACAAAAGACATACCATATGACGGTGTATGGTTCCATGTTTTAGCAGAAGATTCATTCTAATGTTAAGCATTTGGTGCGTACCACTGAGTGGTGGAACTAGGCCCAGGCCCTGAGAATCACGTGGAGACACGAACACGTCGAACAGGGTCTACCTCAATTGGTGACCCATAACTCTTGAGCTACAGACCTGAAGTCGCACCCATAGAATATATTGGTGGTCTGATCCCACCTCTCCCACACATAACGCAGCCATCCTGCTTGCTGAAGCGACGGTACCCAATGCCTCCACAATGTCCCAGTGCATTGTCGGAGCCATTCGAGTTACCTGCAGGGGGCCCTGAATTGACGTAAAGGGGACCCTTAGCTCTCTCTCTCTCTCTCTCTCTCTCTCTCTCTCTCTCTCTCTCTCTCTCTCTCTCTCTCTGTGGCACAAATAAATGTTTGGTTCTTTTTTTTTTCTTTTTTTTTCTTTCAAGCGGAACTTTATTATACAAGCCGGGAAACGGGTCCGGCGACCCTCGACAAATGTTTTTTTGCTCCGTCTTTGAGACACCGTCGCCTGCCGAACCCAGAGGGACAGTCACAGTGGTCCCAACAGAAACAGAAAAGCAACTGTAATCAAACCATGGTGAGTAACTGTTGTCTTCTTTGCTACCAAGTACCACAAGACCAAACAGACTTAGTGCTATCTCCAGTAATTTTCTTCTTTTTTTTTTCTATGTGCTATTGTCAGTCTAACGAGAGAATCCAGCCCCATCACTGTGGAACTTTTCTCTGGGATTTTATTTATTTATTTTATTATTTTTATTATTATTTTTTTTTCAAAGCTATACTCTTCTCTCAATTTCACCGCACACTACCTACCTACCACTACTCCTAATTGTAGGCATACGGGGTTCCCCGGATTTTCTAATTTGGTTGTTCTATAATTTATTAATTTATGGATTTACAGGAGCTATCGATTTTGAAGAGTTCGCCAGAATTTTGACTGGTTATGAAAGACTCTTGTTTTTTTGGGGGGGATTCAATCGACTGGTATTATTTTAAGTGACATTTTAACTTTCAATTTCTTCTTTTTTTTGGGGCAAAGAATTATCTGATTCTGATAATTCTCTAATCTGATTGCGTCCGTCTGGATTTGAACTTGGTTCTGTATTTCAACTTTCAACCGTTCATGGGTGTACCAACTGAGCTAGGCCCGTTGGTGTGACTTTTTTTTTTTTTTTTTTTCAAAACAAACTTTATTAAATAAGCCAGGAAACGGGCTCAGGGTCCTTGGTGTAACTTGTTAATTCTTGCCTGTTTGTTGTGCTATTCTTGTCTACTTTTCTCAACCTGGAAAAAAAAATATATATATATCCCTCAGGTCATAGTCAACAACTACTGGGAGGCTGCAGGGGTCATTGCTGCACACAGAGCCGGCGTCAATCCCATGTCTCTGCGCAAGGAAGGAGTCTCTTCCATCAAGAGCAGGGAGCTGGATAGAAGGATGGCAGGTGTACATCAGCCAGCAGATTCTCAGTACTACCGGGAAGACAACAGGATTATGGTGAATTCGTATTAAGTACTATTAACCATGTGCAGTTAAGGGGAAAAAAAAAAAAAAAAAAAAAAAAAAAGAGAACCATTCAACCATGAGCATACTAATCATCCATGCGGCAGCCCGGGGCTAGGTCCCACTTGTACGGATTAAGAGATTCTGGCCGTTGATCTTTGCTATCTATGGTCAATATCGCTTAATAATTCGTGTAAGTGGGACCTAGCCCCTGGCCGCAGCCATCTACGATCAGTTTGAATAATGCACTAATTAACTAACCATGCCTCTTTTTTTTTCTTCTTTTTTTTTCTTTTTTCCTGATTGAAAACGGTCTAAAGTAGAAATTAGTAGTTACTAAATAGTAATTAGTACTAATTAGTAATTACTAATTATGCATGGCTCCCACTTCTGAGCCCTGTGTTTTAAAATGTGTTTGATTATTTTGATACCAACTGACCAACTTTATGGAACTGTGCAACTTTTTGCGTCCCATTTATTTGGGGTACCACCGGGACCAATTAATTAGGGTCCCGTTTAACTAGGGTTCCAACTTCCAATTAATTAGGGTCCCATTTAACTAGGGTAGCAATTAATTCAAAGTCCATTTGAAGGTTGAACGGGACATGTTCTGATGACGACTTCACGCTTTAAGTTGTGCTACCTTTTTTTTTCTTTTTCTTTTTTTTCTCTTTTTTTTTTTTCTGTGCAATTTCATATTTCTACATCTCCCAGTCCTAACAGCTTTCATCTAGTTTCATGCCATTTTCGAGCAGCATGCTTCTTTTTCTCTCCTCCTACCCTTCCCCTTTGCTTCCCCCCGGCTCCCCAGCTTCCCTCCCCGCCCCCGTCGAAGTTCCCCATATTGTGGTGGGACAACTTGCTGGTAGCGAGTTTGGAGTTGGGGTTTAGGGGTTTAGGTGTTGGGGGTCAAGGGTGGGGATTGGGATGGGGAATTCACAGTCATTGCAATCTTTTCAACGACTATCAGGAATGGTTTATCTTCAAAATTGGACGGAAGTGTGTGGGAGATGGCGTAAAGGGCGGGGGAAGCGGGCGTGGGCAGAAGAGAGAGAGAGGGGGGAGGTGAAAAGGTGAGGCATGCAAAGTACTCATAGGCTATGGAGGGTGCCTGGCTAATTCTTGTGCTAGCAAAGGGTAAATTACCAAAATAGCCGCTGCGTGGGAATTAGGAAACGACACTGTGATGAACTATTTTCTGTAATCGCACGACTTTCTGCGCGAAGCTGCTCGACGGGTCGGACGGGTGAGCTGCTGAGATGGGCTGGTCGGGCAAATTGCATGGATGCCCTTGTTTCTTTTTGTTTTGATCGGTGTAGGGAAAGTCCCGCGCCGAGGATTGGGTAATCGTGCCTTAGCGAGCGCGATGATAACGGTTGCCATGGCTTCTTTCTTGTTCTGCTGTGGGCACTAGGAATTTTTGGCGCGATCATCGCGCGGCAATATCGTCTTTTTGAATTTTCAACTGATGTCAAGCCCCCACGGGCTCGCGGAACTGTTTTTCTTTTTCTGCATTTTCGGAATTTCCTTTTGCAATTAGGACTTAGGCTAGGAATTTAGGTACTCTGAATTTTGTTGCGCCGCGCTTGCGCGCATCTTGCTGCGCTGGGAGCTGAGCTCTGACTGGATCGCGCCCTTAATCCGGTATAATTGTCGTTCTTGGCGGGCGCAATTGTAACTGTATCTTTCTTCTTTCTTGGTTTCCTCATGTTTACCTGCCTTCTTCTTCTCTGCCTTGCATGCTTAATGATCCATTGTAATTGGCCTGAATGCCTGCATGACCGGATCAATGCGCGGAGTGTGGCTACGACCCCCACGCCGCGGCCTGGCCATGCAGACGTAGGCACTTCCTCTCTTCTCCTTTTGACCACTTGGGCTTAATCCGGTATCCTTCGCGCAAGCATGCATGCTATAAATTTCGCAAGCGCGATTAAGTTTGCTCTCTATGAACCCTGGAGTTAGCACGATCAGTGAGGTTCGGCTAACGAGTCATCTTGAGAGGTGAGTCGACGAGAGAGTTGGGCGATCCGACGAGCTGGTGTCGGGTATGCGGGGTTGACGTGCGGGGCCACGACGAACTGTGGCGCACGGGCGAACCTGGCTTCCATGCTCGAACCAAGCGGGGTGACAACTCTGTGTTGATGCGAGGCTACGGACTGCCCGCATCGGGAGTGTAGAGCATAGAGAGAGAGAGAGAGAGAGAGAGAGAGAGAGAGAGAGAGAGAGAGAGAGCAGTTGTGGGTGCGGGATGAGGTTCTTTCTTTTGCTCGTCTGTATAATTTTGGTTTCTGCTATGGCCGATTTTGTTGCGGCCTTTTCGGACTTTTCCTTGTAAATCGTCTCGGATTTTCTTTGTCGCTTTTGCCTCGAACAGCCATTTCGTCAAAACGGACATATTATATTTTTTGAACGAAATCAAAACTGACTTTTTTTGCCAAAATCCGGTCGGAATTTTTTGCTCCTAGGGGTCCGGCGTTCCCAAAACGCCGGACCCCCCTGGTCTATGGTTGAGACCAGATACTTTTTTTTTTTTTTTTTTTTTTCGTATCTGGTCTCAACCATAGACCAGGGGGGTCCGGCGTTTTGGGAACGCCGGACCCCCATGAGCAAAAAATTCCAACCGGATTTTGGCAAAAAAAGTCAGTTTTGATTTCGTTCAAAAAATATAATATGTCCGTTTTGACGAAATGGTTGTTCTCGTATGTATGCATGAATGGATGTGAACTCTTCTTCATTAGTGATCTTTTCGGATTTCCGATCTTGTTTTGCGATGCTTGTTTAATTTTATTATCCATCTGCATCTGACCGAAAGCACTCGCTACGGATGTTTGGGTTTTTATTGTTAGTCTTTGATCGTCATAAGGCCGCCAAGAACGCTGTGAGATGTTGATTGTCCTTTTCCCCTTTTCTCATAGCATGAGTAGGATAGTTGCATGTAGGATACAATCGCTGCCTCGACACAGGAAACCCGAGCCTGATTCACTGCCCCTCGTGCGCACGCTCACTTACGACCGTGATCTCGAAAAACCAAGTCGCGGCATGCGCGCGCGTCTGCATGAGTCGACCTCGAATTTATCATAAGGATGCGGGAAATCGAATCCATTAGTCGGATATGGTTGTGGAAAGTCCCTTTTGGATCACCGATCGTGAAAGCCCGAGGGATCCGGAGTATCGCGAGTACTGGGAAGGCGAACAACTCAAACGACGGGTAAACTTGAGAAACCCGGAATTCCCCTGCCTTACAGAGAACGACCGACTGTGCGCGGGGGATTTCCACTGAGCTATAACCAGCGATCCTAGGGGCCCAGACTATCCAGATACGGACAATACTCAATACTTCATATCCTCGGGCTTCAAGTTCGTCATTATTAATACCAATTTCCCTCCTTTCCATCTCCTCCTTCCATATCACCAGCTCATAGTGGTACCGTGGAATTCCATAGCTCGCTATTGGCCCCACCCACCGTGCGAGGATTGCCAACGATACCAGGCAAACAGGGCTTCGGGACTCATCCGACGAACCCGAACCGAAGCCGAGCAGCGATTACGCAGCCTCCGCTTACGACCCGCCTCGTCGGGATCCGAAGCTTGTTACGAGCGGTGCCGACAACTGTTCGCCCAGCGCGACGGCCACGGTGCCCCACCGATCCACCAGACAAGGGACCGACCGCGGCGACGCTACGGGTAGAGGCCATAGCCCCCTTCCCGAAGGCGGAAACGCCAGATACGATCCGTGCATACCATTTTGCACCCTTGCCCCTAAAGCTTGCCACAAGAGATCTCAGTTCCGACCTGGGACTCCACCCCCACTTTCCTAAAAATCCTTGGCATACCCCCTTTTTCGCACTTCCAGGCCCCCATCCCACTCCGATCAGGAAGTTGCGCTGGGCGTGAGGTTGGGCGTCACAACACAGCAATCCCTGGGGGGTGGGGACGGGAGGCGAGGGGGTGGGGACGGACGGCGAGGGGGTGGGACGGTAGGCGGGGGGAAGAGAGGGCAGGGGGGGGGAAGGGAGTAGTGGGGGGGAGAGAGTGGTGAGATGAAACCTCACAGGCCATGAAGTGCACCTACTTGGTTCTTGTGCTAGCGAAGGCTGAACTACAGACAGCGAATTAGGAAAAGACACGGCAACCCCCTGTGAGAATGAACCTGGATGTGAGGAAAGCCAGGTGCTTCATCTGCACTGGGAGGAGAAGACGACCAGGTACATTCTGACAGAAACTGCAGTTGCATTTCCTTGCGCAGGGGCCATGCTAATCTAGGTAGTGAAGGTGAATTGAAAGAATTTGAAAGATGATGAAAGATTTGAGAGAAGAATATAGCGGACCAGCTTGAAGTGACTGCTCCTACCAGCACCTCAAGTTGCCTCCGAGACCGCTTGCGAAAAAAAAAAAAAAAAAAAAAAGAAGAAGAAGAAGAAGAGAGACGAATATAACGTAAAAGAAGAAGAAGAAGAAGAAGAAGAAGAAGGAGAAGAAGAAGAAGAGAGAAGAATATAGCGTAGTAACCGTAGTTAAATATAAAAAAAATCTCTGTATTAACAGATGTCCCGAGGGACTCCTTCAACACATATGTATTACAAGCTGTATTGCATTTTCCGCAAGATGTAGTTTTCCAGAAGGAAAAAAAAAAAGTTAAAAGCTGAGCGCGACACGTACCAAGTGGGAATTCGGAAGAGAGTTTGGGGTGAGAAAACTGGTTTGAAGGCCGTCTCGCCTACAGCGGAAGAGGAGATTTCTGGCCAACTTGAAGATGTTGAAGAAGCCAAGGAGGGCACCGAAGCTGGTCATGGAATCAATAGAGTTTTCTGCGGGATTGTTTCGTACTGCGTCTACTTTCTCAAAGAACGAAAAAGACTAGTAATGACCTAGGGCTCAAGATTGATCGTGCTTTTATACGGAAGATGGGTACTACCAAGTAGCACGGGCGAGATAACTGTCAGAGTTACCGTGGAGATAACTGTCATATACCGTGGAGATAACTGTCAAAGTTACCATGGAGATAACTGTCAAAGTTACCGTGGAGATAACTGTCAAAGTTACCGTGGAGATAACAGTTACTGTCAAAGTTACCATGGAGATAACTGTCAAAGTTA